TATGTATATGTATATGTATATGTATATGTATATGTATATGTATATGTATATATATCACATGAGGTATTTTAGTCTCTATTGGTATGAAAAGAAAAATGTAGTGTTAAGTGCTTGGGCCAAATTTTGGTGCTGTAAAATTTTAAGAATTTAAGTGTAAGAATTTTGAAAAGGTGAATATACTTTTGCATTTGAATCTCCTTGCATTATCTCTTTCATCTAAAATCTACTTAATTCTCTCTAAAAAAATCTACACAATTGTTTTTCCATTACCAGTTCTACACAGTGAGAAATGTGTAGTTAGTAAAAATATCTATGTATTGAAGTGACTCTGATCATAATTACAGAGAACACTGAAAAATCAAAAGGCTTCTGATAGTCAGTATTCTATTTTATAATGATTAGAAAAATACATATGGGTAGTTCTTCAGTATACCATAAAAGTAAGAGGTCTCCTTCTAGAATCTTTTTCCAAACAAGTGGTGTTCAGTGCCAACTTACATTCTAAATCTGTAGAGGCTAGTGTCATCTATGATTGTCCAATTGTCTCAATTGCCTTGTAAATCAATGGCCACCATTGTATTTTGTAGTAACTGAATCCATTAATTAATGCATTATATAAAGATACATTTTAAGTCCACTGCCAATCTAGTATCATGGGACGGAGGAAAAGTCTCCTTTTAGTTTCATATCTATCATTGTAAGCGTTGAAATATTTTCGAATTCTTATGCCATGGAAAATGATTTTATAAGCAAGAGATATGATAGAAACCTTCAAACCTGGTAAGTCAACAAGTGTGTGACTTGACTCAAAAAGGCTGGAAGAAGAGGCCAGGATTTAAACCTGGGAACTAGTACATACAGAAGGCAGGATTCTGAGTTGCTATTAGTTGCACTCAATCATAGGTATGGCTTCCTTCTCAACAGTAATAAATATTCAGATCTAACCTTGCATCTGCTTGGGAATATGGAGTAGGGACAGAATTTAATTACCATTCTTAGTACAAATTTTTGGTACCCATTTGATCAATTGTTTTATTGATGAGGTGCTATCAGGTTTGGGTGGACCCTTAGTGACCACACAGATAGATTTTCTTTATGGTGATCTGTCATTAGCCTGGTCTTCAAAGGTGCATCCATTGTCATGGGAATTAAATCCATCCATCTTGGTATTGGTCATTCCCTTCTACTCTTTCCTTCCATTGGTATCCACTGGTTCTCTTTGATTTAAAAAAGTTAACATAATTACACTGTTCACTGTAGAATAGGAGCTTCAAGTTATTTATCAGAATTCGATTTCTTGCCGCCAGACAGTATATTGTAACGTTTATAAATGTAACACAGGATAAGATTTTATGGACA